CCCGCCACAACGCCCGGCTATTTTTTGGTTGCAGTCGTCATTGTTGTTTGGCGGGTCCGGGCTGGGGATTCGAACCCGCCACCTTAGGTGTACGTGGCCGGCGCCTTAGCCGGTTGAGCTATAGGCGCCGAGCCTGTTTTTACTTTTTGAAGCATCAACTGTTCCTTGACAATTGGAAGAGGCTAATTGCAAGAATTAGTAAATAAATAATAACAATATTAACCCGGGAGATGATCCAGAAAGGCCTAAACAGAAAGCCCCCTAAGGCTGGGGGCTGAGGAGTCTTGATACTGTTGACCTTCGCAAGGCTAGAGGGGCCCCACACCTATCAGACGTGCTCTGCTCTCAGGAAATGACTGGGTGCTAGATTTCATGGAGAAAGTAGAAGTTAAGGGCTTTAGTAAACTTTAGTCTATCACGCAGGAAAGACCACTCAGAAAACCCCAATGGGATGGTGGCGACGCCCACTTGGCTTCACACAACACGTCTGCCAATTTCCAGCTTGGGCAACAAATTTGGTCTGAATCCCAGTCCACTCTGCTGTAAAATGGGCAATGAGAATAGAACTCACCCACATCACGGGGCTAGCGGGAGACAGGAGAGATGAGTCATTTACAGTCGCATACCAGTGAGGAGTTCAGATTAACATGCTTATCAGCACAGGGTGTGGTCCAGAGGAAGCACTAGTAAACGGGGCATTGTTCCTGTTCTCCTGCTGTTATTTGAGATCCTCCCCACCTAAGGCACATGCTCTAATGGCCTCTACAAAGCGATTAAAATCGTGGTCTCTCCTTGGCAGGGCGTTCTTCCACACTGCCAATTTCTCAGCTATGTAACTCCCTGAAACCTGGGTGTTTACATCCTAATGAGTTGAATCACCAGTTTCTCGCACAATTTGCCTTTAACTGGCTTTCTTGTCTTGCTTTCAGGAAATATGAAAAAAATGGAGTGTGTGTTCTCACTGGTGGCTAGCACACTGACACTTCCTGTGTGAAAGCAGGGTAATTCAAGGGCAATTCGAGAGTACAGAGAATTAAATAACTCACAGCCTAGAATCCACTTCAAATGTGACATTTTGAGGCAACTGCAAGTCAATTTCATGTGGTTCTGCTCTTCCTACAAGTCACAACTTCAGTTAAGTAAGCAGTCGAGCAGCCCAGATAACTGCTTGATAAAGTTTTTCCTGTTTGAAGGACTGCTGTCTCTACACTCTAATTCCATTTATTTCTCCCTGAGATGCCATGCAGATTACTGAAAGCTGTGAGCCGCTCTTTGAGCAGGTGAAAATCCCCAGCACTGACATACTTACTCCCAGAGATTGGCTCTTCACGAACATCAAAAGGATCACCATCCGGTCCATCCAGGGTCTTGCTCACTCCCTGTGCTGACAACTCCCCACCGTCCCCCTCTCCAGAGGGTAAGCTGGGTTGCTCTGCAGTTGGCACCTCCTCTCTCAGGCCTGGGTTCTGGTCCCCTCGGACAGGAGTGCTGCACATGTCTGCAGCCCCTGGGTTCTGGCTTTCCAACGATGCACAATCTCCATGTGTGTTTTTTGCATCTCTGGCATCCTCGGTACTATTGGCACCGGGTGCCCGAGGGCTGCCGCCTGCCGAGTTCACAGGAGAGTGGTACTGGGGTACAACACCCACAAACTTCAGGCCCCGACTTGCGGCCTCCTGGACCTGCAAGGCAAACAAAATGAAGGGAACCAAGTGAATAGGATGGCCTGACAAAGGCCCAGACATGTGCAGTGTACAGAGACCTCCCGAGGTCCATAAGGATCTCTGTGAGCGTGAAGAAGGCCAACAGGGCAGAGGCTCCCTGTTCTCAGGGCACTTGCACCCTCACCCTGGCCTGAGGGAGACGGATGCATGTGGGCATATTCTTTAAAATTCTGTTGTCTGATATAAAAATAACGTGTTTGGCTATGAAGGGTTGGGATCACACTGTATCAGTCCCTATTTGCCTTTTTTTAAGAGTTTGAAAAACAAAGGTTCGAAAAGAATAAGCTAGAACAAATAGAGTTTGAAAGAGGAAGTTCATTTTCATCTTGGTAAGAGTTTATTTTTCTGTCATCTTTCTTCTGATGAATCACCTACTTCCTGCCCATCAGACTACTATATAAATACAGAACGTCTATACAACCACATCCTAACACCAGATGGCATTTTATGACCCAAAGTGCTTCCTTTTTTAGACAATAGTTTTGGCAGACAAGAGAGAAGTAGGGAAAATCCCTCCTGTGTGAAGGCTGAGAAGAAATCTGATGGATACCCGCTCTGCTCTGTACAACTGTCAGGCCTAGGGAAAGAAAAAGGAGCCCACAGGCTGTGCCCAGCCTACAGCTATAGGCAGAATCTTGGCTCTCCAAGTCCTGGCATACACCATCCAGCATAGGAAACAAGGTAACTGTTCCTTCTCACTCCCTGTGCCTGCAGGGTGGGAGATACCCATCCACGTAGAGTACTGGGGAACTCGCCCTAAAAATTAGTCCCAAGCAATTGAATTGGGTAGTCAAAATTTGAAAGAAAAATAGAAGGTAATAGCCTAATAAAATCAAGCGAGAGCCGGCCAAAACTAGATGGTGAGTTTTAGGGGACTTTCTAGACAAGGATGCTTGAGTCGCTTTATAAATAAATAAGATACTTGGAGACCTCAGAGCTGTTTAAATCTTAGTCACCATCCCCTAAGCAGCACTGAAGCCTCTGCAAGGATCACCTACCACCATCTGAGTATTAGTACGGAGCTACTTTCCCTGAAGGAGAAGCGATTCTTGGTAACTCTCCTCAGATGAAACACCCTAATGTTTAGCATGACGTCATTTTAGTTCCACATTGCACATTCCATTAAAAAAACGGTCCAGGGCAGTTGCAAATGTGCAGTCTGGTCTTTCTTTTTTTTTTTTTTTTGAGACAGAGCCTCAAGCTGTCCCCCTGGGTAGAGTGCCGTGGCATTACAGCTCACAGCAACCTCCAACTCCTGGGCTCAAGCGAGTCTCTTGCCTCCGCCTCCCAAGTAGCTGGGACCACAGGCGCCCGCCACAACGCCCGGCTATTTTTTGGTTGCAGCCGTCATTGTTGTTTGGCGGGTCCGGGCTGGGGATTTGAACCCGCCACCTTAGGTGTACATGGCTGGCGCCTTAGCCGGTTGAGCTATAGGCGCCGAGCCAGTCTGGTCTTTCTATCTATAGTCTAGCCTGCATCAGACAACAATAACAATAATAGTAATAATTACCATATGGTGTAGCCCTACATGCCAGCCACTGAACTAGGCATTTAACTTAAGTAATTTATTTGTTTAATCTTTCCAAGATCCTACATGATATCATTATCTCCATTTCAGAGGAGGACAGTATGGCCCAGAGACATTAAAACCATAAAGCAAGCAGTGACTCGCCAAAGTGCAAAGTCAGGTCTGGCTCGAGCCAAAGTTCATTCTCTTAACCACAGGACCAAGTAGACACATCTCAAGGCATCAAACACACACATGTCCATAGGCATGTACTGATGTGTGTCCATTCACCTGCCCACAGTTGGCTCAGTTCACTCGTTGAAAGTTAAAAAATAAAACACGACTAAAGTCATTCTTTTCATTCCAAAAGTTCATTTTTCACTTGTTAATTGTGATATCTATCTATTTTAGAAATTTTTCTGAAAAGATTCTAAAAGATAACATAGGCAACAAAAGTTTTAAAAGAAAAGAGCAGGGAGATAATTATACTAAAGAACGCTAGGTTAAAGAAAGCTTCTATAGGGGCCAGGTGAGGTAGCTCATGCCTGTAATCCCAGCACACTGGGAGGCCGAGCTCAGGACTTCCGGACCAGTCTGAGCTAGAGTGAAACCCCATCTCTAAAAACAACCGGGTGTTGTGCCGGGCACCTATAGTCCCAGCTACTTGGGAGGCTGAGGCAAGAGGATCACGTGAGCCCAAGAGTTTGAGACTGCTGTGAGCTATGACACCATGGCACTCTACCCAGGGTGACAGAGTGAGACTCTGTCTAAAAAAAAAGAAAAAAGAAAACTTCGGCATTACACAAGTTAGCTTTGAGCTTCCTGCACCATGTGCAAAAAGAGGAAGGCAATAGGTTTTCTAGTCCTTGAATGAGATCAGGAGACAGCTTTGGACTACCTCTTGCCACTACTGTCTTACCACAGTGAAAGCAGCTACTACTGCTGAAGAATTCTTAAAAACTGGGGGCTCGGCTCGGCGCCTGTGGCTCAAGTGGCTAAGGCACCAGCCACATACACCTAAGGTGGCGGGTTCAAATTCAGCCTGGGCCTGCCAAACAACAATAATGGCTGCAACCGAATAATAGCCGGGCGTTGTGGTGGGTGCCTGTGGTCCCAGCTACTTGGGAGGCGGAGGCAGGAGACTCGCTTGAGCCCAGGAATTGGAGATTGCTGTGAGCGTGATGCCATGGCACTCTACCCAGGGGGACAGCTTGAGGCTCTGTCTCAAAAAAAAAAAACTGGGGGCTCAGCCGCAGGCCAGTCTCAGCTGGAGTCTTAGAAATGACATGAGGTTTGAAGGCTTTCAGAAAGGGATATTAACTTCTGCCTTGGAGTCCCAGTTGTGTGACTAACTGGCTTGGAGAACCAGAATGGGATACATAAGTTTTCGTGCTGCAGTTTTCTCATCAGTAGAATGGACAGGAATCATAATTTTCCCATTTGCTCTAAAGACGAGATACTACATATGGCAAGAGAGCCAAAGGACAGGGGACAGGAAGGGTCCCTCCAACCTTTCCCCTTATTAGGCCCAGGCTTCTGTGGCTCTGCAGAGATAGCTGAAAGTCCTCTTTCCAGGAAAAGAGCAAGGACTCTGGACACAAGGCATTATCTTAGCCCTCCCCTTTCTCACTGAGACTTGAAAAACTGGAGAGGCTTAGATATAGAATTCTGTCCTTCTCCCTCAACAAACTGGACAACCAAACTGGACAATCATATTTCTTTGCCATATTGTGCTGTAAATTTATCCTCTAGGCCAGAGGTTCTCAGAGTGTGGTTCCCAGATCAGCAGCATCAGCAACCCCTGGGAACTTGTTGGAAATGCAAATTCTCAGGCCCTTCCACAAATCTACTGAATCAGAAACTTTAGGGGTGGGGTCTAGCAATCAGTGTTTTGACAACTCCTCCAGGCCAATTCCAAGGCAGCCTAAGGTTTAAGAATCAGTTGTAGAATACACATTTCATGAGGGCTAGGGTATTTTGCATCGCTATGTCCCCAGAGATAAAATGATACCAACATACAGCAGGTTCTTAATAAGTATCTGTTGAATGAATGAATAAATATATTCAATTATGAATAAGTATGTTATGGTCCTTATCCTAGAATGAGTTCCTTGAAAGTTGAGATGGAGACTGATTAATTTTTCAGCTCTATAATTCAACTAACATTTATTTTTTCACTTTTCTTTTTTATCTTTTTAATTGTTTGGGATTCATTGAGGGTATAAAGAATTAGGTTACACGGATTGCATTTGTTAGATAAAGTCCCTCTTATAATTGTGTCCCACGCCCAAGTGGTGTGCCATACACCATGACTCCCCATCCCCCACTCTTCTCCCCTCTCCCCACTTGCTCATTCTCCTACCTCTCCCCTTGTATTAGCTCATCTGCTGCCTTCATATTAGAATAGAGTACATGTATTAAGTCCCTACATTGGCCCAGCCCAACACTGTGCTTAGGTACTGGGATACAAAATAGGAGTTTCGGCCCTTAAGAACATTCAGCCAGGCTCGGCGCCTATGGCTCAAGTGGCTAAGGTGCCAGCCACGTACACCCAAGGTGGTGGGTTCAAATCCA